TTTTTTGCGAAAAATGGCCAAAATTTGATGTTTTTCGACGAAAACTCTATGAAGATCAATCCCAATCACGTTTGCTATATTTTTCCTGTAATCTACGCGTGAAAATACATACGTGTACCAATTTTTAGCTCTCTAGGTGTAAAACTGTGAGTTCTAGGGGGGGGGTACATGGTCATTTTTGTAACCGTTCCAATAGGGTTCCTACCGGGTACGGAACCCTAAAAAAATAATAACTGTATAATTTTTAATAAGTTTCAATCAAAAATTTTCTTACATTTAATTTCTTTTATCTTTTCAGCAAAATTAATAATTTTTGTAAAACAATTAAAATTTTAAAGCATTAATTTATAGATTTAAAAGTATTGACAAAGAAGAAAACAATGAAGGAATTATTAAGAGTAATAATTTTAAAAAAATTAACATTACATTCTTCTGATATTTCAGCATCATTAAATTCTGAACCTTCATCATCGGTATTTCCGGATTCCATGTCCTCCGAACTTTGATGGTTTCGACGTGCGATTTTAAAAGAACTCTGCGTACTGTTTCAAACAAAATGCAATAAGTTTTACATGTATTTCTAAATTAATATACCAAGTTGTAATAAAATAGTGATTTTGCAATATTCTATCTATTTTAACTTTATTTTAGAGTCATTCCATTATATTTTGACTAAAGTCGTCGTCAACTAATTTTAAAAAATTATAATATTTTGCAAGAATGATTTTAAAGACATTAGAATCACTGAACAAAAAAATTTTTAAAATATTTTTTATATTTATTGTAAAATAAGCATCAAAAGTATATGAAGTCGTAAAAATTGTCACCTTTCCATCTATTAGAAAATATTAAAGAAAACAAATAATTTACTATGAAAACTTGAAAAAATTATTAAAATTTATTAAGAATGAATTATGAAATTATTATAAATTAATAGAAACAATTATTAATAAGAAAGATTAAATAAAGAATTATTTTAAAGTTTACCTTGCGAATAATCTATTTTTGCAAATTTTATTTACTAAGTGTAAGAAAAAGAAATCATTAAATTGAATAAAACCTTATAAAAAATAAAGTACCTGTGGTTAACTTTTAGTTTTTCTTATCACTTTCTTCGTTTTTTCTTCTTAAATGTGAAAAAATAAGCAATTAAAATTAGCATTTTGCTTATTTTCACGATTTTCATATGTACATAATTTTTACCTAGAAAAATGAAAAATTACTAATAATATTTTCTAATACATATAAAATATAAAAATAAATATAAATAAATATAAAAAAATTTTTTTTAAAATTCTTTTTGTTCAGTGATTCTTATGTCTTTAAAATAATTCCTACAAAATATTATAATTTTTTAAATTTAGTCGGCAACGACTTTAGTCGAAATATAATAGAATGACTCTTTATCTTAACGTAACTATTTTCATACATTAGTACTTTATTTATTAAATGAAATTTCAAAATTACCAACGATGATTTATAAATGGTTTTAAAAATTTCAGGCAATTGTAATATTCCCAATCGCTTGTCTTAATTGTTGCAGCAGCGAAGCCAGATGGAATGTATGTGTCAATTTTCTTCTGTTCTTCAGAAAACTTTGATCTTAAATAAGCACATTTGCTTGTGACTTCTTTCCCTGTGTAATAATAATTACATATTTCTTATTAATACAGTATTTATATAAATTGAAACTTAAAACACATATTTGCAAGAAAGAAATGAGTTAATAAATACATTTTTGTTTTGAGGTTATGTTATCTTTTAATACTGAAAAACTATATAGAAATATCTTTCACCTATAATATCACGATTAGATTAACAATTTTTTTTTTAAATTATTTAAATTATAAAACAAAAAAGTACATACAGCCAATAATTTTTCCTGTGATTTCTGTTATTTCTTCCGCGACATCTATCCATGCATCTTTTTTTTGAAGCGTATCTCTAAAGTAGTCTTTAGATTTAGCATACAGGCATTTTCTCCCTTGAACCAACTGTATGACAAGTTCATTTAAATCAAAATCACTCATTATTACACTGAAAAAATTCAAAAGTTTTCTGTACTATTACTGCAGCGATAATGCAAATTTGCGGTTAGGTTAGCGTGAATAGACAATCAAAAATTGCAAATTTAAACAGTTTTTAGAAACTTCTGAATCTGCATAAACATTTACAAACATTCTGTTGGATCAACCAATAATAATGTACTGCCAGTAACTCCCAAATACACCACTGAACTGACAAATTAATATTATTTGAATTTGGACAAATTGTGAATAATGAAAGGCGACATCTGGAACGATTTCTTATTATTAATCATTCACATTGTTTCCCTTCTATTTATTACATAAAAGCTGTTTTAAGTATACTTAGAAATAAAAAATTTTGTTTTTTAAGTTTCTTTTTTTTATCTAAAAAACACTAAAAATGAATAGCGAAGATTCTCAGGAGGCCAAAATAAAATTCTTTCTTAGCATTGTTAAAGCGGAAGAGTGGATATATGATCCGAAGAAAAAAATAACTAATGAATCAAAGAAGATGGAATTGTGGAAAAATATACACTTACTTTTGGCAGAGTATAATGTGGACATTAAAGGTAAGTTATTTTTTGAAATTCTTAAATTTTTGTTTTGTTTAATTTGTGATGATAGAATTGCTAATACTTACAAATGTTTTGTTTAACCATTATGTTTCTACACAGATCCAAAGGAGAAATGGCAAAGCTTGCGGGAATTATTCGTTCGAAAGCACAAGGAAAATAGAACAAACTGGACCTATTTTAGTGACTTTCAATTTTTAATTCCATATATTCACCACAAGAAGTACTGCATTTTAAATATATATACTGCATAGTAATAATATTAAAATTATGTTATACATATGTGACTGTCCGCGACAAAAGGGACCTTAGCTCCATGTATTTACATGGAGCTAAGGTCCCTTTTGTCGCGGACAGTCACATATATTAAATTTTCTTTATGTTTCTATATTTCAGTACTTCACGAGTCCAAAACGGTGAAAATAATCAACGTCAATTAAATGAAATAGCGACATCCGAGATACCTTTTGAAAGCGAAATGGAAGTACAAAATTCTGGTTTGTATCTATTGTTTTAACACATTTCTGGGTATATATATACAAACTTTTATTTCACTGGAAAATTTTCTCGACTGTCAGTGAATTTAATAATAATGACAGTTTCAATGATCAAGCCTAACCACTTTTGCATCGTACATGATTTATTTTTTAGATATATTTTTATTTTATTACTTTAGATTGATTTTATAATATATCTGTTTCTAAAATATTAGTTGCAATGAGGTAATTTATTCTAATAGGGAATGTTGATTTAAGGATAGAGGTATTGATATTAAAAATTTTAAATATATACATGTATATCAACCAATGCTTACTATTAGGGCCAGTTTCACCAACTCCGATTAAAAGTTAATCAATGATTACAGTCAATTTAACCACTCATGGTTGGCCGGTTAAGGATTTAATCATTGATTAACTTTTAATCAGTGTTGGTAAAATTGGCCCTTAATATATTTAATTATAAAGTAAATAATAAAATTTCATTTATTAGACAGTAGTTTTGCTAGTAGTAAATTAAAATATAATTCATACTCTTATACTATTGTAGGAGAGGAGATTTCTAATGAAGTGTTAACGATGGAAAATGGAAATATTATGAATGAAGTGGAAAATATCGTTCCAGATATTGAAATTAGAAGAAATCATTCCCAAGGTAAATACATTATCCAAGCTAATGGCTTGATAACACATTCAACGCTACCATCAACTTCAATCGAAACATATTCGACACAAGCTTTGCCTACAGTTTTATCAACGGCTCCGCAGTTTACCACAACTCCATTATCATCTTCGTCAATTTTTCAATCTTCAAATGGTCTTCTGGATTCTACTTTATCATTAACTGGCGCTTCGAGAAAACCTTGGACTTTATCGCGAGAAGTAACTTCATCAACAGTAGCTTTATCACTGCCATCAACGTCAAACACTCCACAAAATTTTTCTTCGTCCCTTTCTAAAGATTCGTTTCATTCTTCAGTTTCGTCTGATTCTTTAATTGGGACTTTACAAAAAACGTCTTCATCAACAATTGCAATGAATAACACATCATTTACAGCAATATCAAGTTCCTCATCATCGTCGACTTCTACAACTTTTTCTTCGTGCCATTCTAAGAATTCATGTCGACCTTCAGTTGATTCTACTTCTTCATATGTTGATGATATTCCTCAAACTGCAAACAATTTATCATCAATTAGTTCAAAATCTCAACCTTCGTTGCCAAAAACCTTTTCACCTATATCAGTTTCATCGTTGTCCAATATAGTTTCTGGTAAAAAGAAACCCACTTTAAAGGGTCCATCTAATAAGTCAGCACCTTATAATGCCACTTTTTCAATGAAAGACAAAGTCTCACGAAAGATTGTGCCACCCTGGGATAATTTTGCGAAAAAAGAAGTTAAAAGACGATTCCCTGGTTGCTGAAACTTCTAAATCAATTATTATTCAAACATCAGCAAGTTTGAAAAGTGCAACAAATAAAATGGAGGAATATATAAATTGGAAAATTTCGCAAGGAAAAAATCAGGAAAATGATGGCAATAAAGATGGGTACTATAATATAATTCAAACTGGGTTCATAAGTCTACCCTTACAAGCTCAGAAAGAAGTACTTCCAAAAATTCTTGATATAATTGAATCATTTTATTAGTGGATTTTCTCGACCAAATCGCAAAAATAAAAATTTTTACATGTTCGTAAAATTAAGATGTGAGTATTACTATTACATATATAAATCTGTTATGCTTTTAAAACGAAAATTATAAGAATAAGGATAATTACTCTATAACGATATAAACGATTGCATTTTGTAAAATGAAATAATATTCATATATTTCAGAAATTCAAAAAGTGTTTTACAAAAAATGTCGCAAAAAAATGTCGCAAAAAAATGTTTGTCCAAATTGAATTACGATAATAACTAAGACTGTCCTCAACCAAATTCGATTTATTTGTAATTAAAAATTACAAATAATGCAAATAAGTTATTATAATATTATTGGATATAATACTATCAGAGTATGCATTAAAAAATTATAAGGAATTTTTCTTTGCTTTCAATATATATTTCTATTTTCTTCGTCATTTTTTTGGGAAATTTTTTTTTTGCATTTACAACCTTGTGATTTTATTAATTAATAGTGGCGTTCAAAAAACTTTCTAGGCCGTGCCCAGTCAGAGTATTAAAAAGCAATTTAGAAAATTGATGTACCTGAAACTAATTTTTAAGGGGGGAGATACCTTTAGATCGAGATTTTGTTGATGTTTTTTATGAATTTTTTTTCGCTAAGTAGAAGTGTATACAGTAAGAAAAGCTATCCGTCAGTCATAGGAAAGTATGGGAAATTGAACAAAGTATGCAGATATTTGTCAAATTACTTTTTACTGCAAAGTTCCCTCCTCTGATAGAAAATATTCAGCTAGCATATGCCTCTGTTGGAAAACATTTTGAGGAATCTCTATGTCGTCCTCTTCATTTGGATTGTCGTCATCAATCACAACGTTTGGTCTTCTACCATTTTCTGGATAATATATTTTGTCTTCATCATCTAACAATAGTTCTTGTGTCAAAATAAAATTATGAAGACAAACCAATGCTTGAACAATAGTTATTGACGTTTTTAAACTAAAATCCATTCTATCTTTTAAAATAGTCCATTTGTTTGTAATAAGACCAAAAGAATCCTCAATAGAGTTTCTAGCCCTGGCCAATCTAAAAAGCATAATAAGTCATAGTTATCAAAAACAATAAAAATCTTTAATTTTTGTAGCTAGCAAACCTTTGATTTAAATAACGTTTTAAAACAAATCTTAAATTATGACAGGCTTCGCACTCATCTACTATGTAAAACCTACTATTTACTACTTGTTTTACATTATGCTACTATTTGGATACTTTTTTAGATTTCAGCAACTAAAAGCTACTATTTCTGTTTTTTTTAATTTCCATTACTTTAAATTCGCTAGGGTAAGTGTGCCAATTATGGCGCGGTTCTGGTTTAGCCGTCTTTGAAATAGAAAATTCAAAAATTATAATGAAAGAAGTAAATTTATGGCTTATTAAACTAAAAGCCCGTGTCATATAGATAATAAAACTTTTATAAAAACTTTATAAAAATTAATTATTTAAACAAAATTAAAGCAATAAGAATTAGGATTAAAAACGTCAATTATGGCGCGGTTGAGTCAATTTCGGCGCGCCAATTACGGCGGGGAAAATAACGTGTATTTAGAGGTTGTGTTGCGCGCCATAACTGGAGCACGCACATTCAATGAAAATGTGCCAATTATGGCGGGGCACAATTTTTGTACTTAAATAATTAAACCAATAATAGTTCAAATGTGTTTTTTTTTCGTACAATTATATCGAGTAAGGTCGAAAATAACTTTTTCTATCGTTTTCAAATAACTATATTATTCTAAAATAGTAAATAATTCTATTTTTTACAAAGTCGCCATAATTGCAGCACCCGCCACAATTGACACACTTACCCTATTACCAGAAATAAAAAAACTGTTCTCTAAAATTATAATTACAGGGTGGCACATTTTATATATATATTCATAACAGTATTCATCACAAGAATTCAATTGTTTTTTAAAGTGCTAAATTTCTTCTTGGAAATTCAATTATTTAAAAAATTTTGATAAAATCGTTCGCGAGAATTCAATTATTATCAAAGATAATAAAATGCTTTTTAGGAATTCAAGTATTTTCAAAAAATTTAATAAAATATACATTTAATTATTCTAAAAAATTTATATAGAATTCTTTATCAAATTTGATTACTTTCAAAAACTTCTCGCAATTCAATGATTTCCAATATTTACTATTTTCATAAAATTTCCAAACAGAATTCAATTATTTAAAAAATTGTATAAAATTCTTCGCAATAATTAAATTATTTTTAGAAATATTTAAATTCTTTCATGAATAATAAAATTCGTTGCAGGAATTCGATTTATTATCAGGGTTAAAAAAAAGTGAATATTTTTGATGAAAATTAAGAAAAAGTCAAGAAAGTAAAATATAGAATAGAATGCTTTTCAGTTTTTTCAAGGGTCTAAAACGATTTTTTCTGGTCGTTAAGTTTAATTTATCTATTGCTACTGTTTTACTACTTTTTTAAGTTTGAAAGCTACTGAGTGCGAAGTCTGTTATTGTGAAAATGAATTTTTTCAATATTATTAACAATTACTACATTAAAAAGTACACTTTAAAAAATTATTTTCTCTCTTAAAAACCTAGAAAACTCCTTGAATATCTTTTCTAAAAGTCACTGAATACTTCGAATACATATAAATTATCTTGGAAGGTTGGTACTATTTCAAGTACTCGAAAATCACGGTTGACACAAATCAGGGAAATCAGAAAAAAGTCATGGTAAGTAGAATTGGTCAGAAAAATGAGGGACAAGTCAGGCATTTTTATTAAATTAGGTACTGCAAAAAATTAATTTTTGTGAAAAGTTACAAATGATTGCAGAAATTTAATTATTTCTGAAAGTAATAAAATTCTTTGCTAAAATTCAATTATGTTCAAAGATTTTAAAAACCTCTTTTCCTAAACTCAATATAAAATTTCAATTTGTTTAATATAATTTTAATAGAATTGCTTGAAAAATGTAATTATTTTGTTAGTAAGATTTTAAATTACCATTAGCAGGTCAAAATCGTAAAAAACGGGAATTTAAATAATTAAATTTAGTAGACACTCTGTTTAAAAATGAATTTCAGTTTAAATTTTAGATAATAATTGAATTTTGAAAAGTTCTCAAGGAAGTTTTACAAAAAATATTGAAAATAATTGATTTCTTTCGAAGAATTTTAATAAAATTTTAAACAATAATTATATTTTTAGAAGAATTTACTTCAAATTGTATTAACAATATGTATAAGTATTTAAAATAATTGAAATCCTGTGAAGAATTTTATTATTTAGAAAAATAATTGAATTCTTGCTACAAATATTAAATTTTTTTTAAATACTTACCTGTAGTTAAAATTTGCTTCTGTCTCATTTAATCCTCTATTTCTATCGAAGGGCTTCATTAAATATTGCTTAAGGGGGAAAATTGCATCACCAATAAAACAAAACGGAAGTACAATATTTGTTCCATCTATTGCAGCATCTTGTGGTAAATCTGCTTCATTGTTTTCCAGTGCGATGCTAAAATCGGTGTGATTAAATGCGGAAACATCACTCACTGATCCTACAAAAACAAATTATTATTATTACTTTAGTCAAATTACAATTACAGTGTGTCTAGTGGTCAGGGAAATAGGAAAAAGTCAGAGAAATTTTAAGAAATTTTTTTAAAAATTTAAATTTTTTGTGAATTAATAATTTTTTCAATCTAACAGAAATTAAATATCTTTTACTACTATTTTCTTCTATCATTAGATATTAATTTTTTGTTAAATATCTTAGTACTCATATTTTTGTCACAAGAAAGCAGAAATAAGGCTTTGTAAATAGTCAAATAAATATTCTTAAACTTTGATGGGTACCCTGAATAATACTTATATATTTATAGTTACATAAGTAAACAGAAGTAATCCTTCTATTAATATTATTTACAAATTTTTATTTACCGTAATCTCCAACATCTATCCACGTAAACCTATAGTAAGCATCGCAAGCTGCCAAAAGCTTAAAACTATAAAAATTTTTATAGTTGAAAAACATGGTTCCTGAATGTGGTGGCTTCTTTATACGTATTTCTTTGCCATCAATGGCACCTAAACAATTCAGGAAATCCCATCTTTCTTTAAATCCGCGTGCAACAATTTTCCAATCAAAGGCATCCTTTCTTCCTATATAAGTAGAAGATAAACATTCCCAAATGATGTTACACACTTCATCTACTACTCTGTATGTAGTTGAAAGACCAATTCGAAAAAAATTAGCTGTGGTGCGATTGCTATCACCATTTGCCAAATAACTGGAAAAAATAAATCTACAACTAGTAATTGTTGATTAATTCGGAAAAATGGCCATTAATTTAAAGTACATAAATTTTTCACAAAAGACATTTGATAGAAAAGTTTTTATTTTGATAGAAAAGACATACAATTGCAAAAACATATTAAAGCTTGCAGCAACATCCACAACATTCCAGCAAGGATTAAAATGTTCCTTTAAGCTTAAATATCTTTTCGATCAAATGACTTTTACGCTTAAACGTTTATGTTATAAAATTATTTTTTCGATTCAATGTCTATTCAATGAAATGCAGTTTTACGCAGTGAAATGATAAGAAGAATCAAATTTGATAAATTTTATTTAAAAATTACTGAGTTTATAATATGCGGGATATCCGTTTAAGTCCACTGGAATGTAAACAGTATTTTAAGTAGAATGTAGCGCAATAAAAAAATTCAGGAATTGAATATTAGATTTTAAAAATTTTCCACTCATAAAAAATAGAATAAGTTTTATATTAAGGGGGTATTCTGGTCTAGAGGCCTCAATTTTAAGGCGTTTTTCCGAATAGGATAAAAAAGAAAGTTTAACATTTTTAATATTTACTTTTTTTGCAAATTGTTTACTAATGTTTAAAGAATACAGAAAAAAAATTAGAAAAAGAATAATAAAAAATCTTAAAAGTTATAAACTTTTGAAATGGGAACTGAAAAAAATTCTGGTTGACACGATAACTCAGAATCTACTCAACTGATTTACTTCAAATTTTGCAAAAATGTTCTTTGTATATCCCTTTATGGTCGCAATCTCGGATTTTAAAAAATATTTTTGTTCACTATTTTTAAAAAATTTAAAAGTGTTAAAAAACAGTGTCAAAAACACAACTTTTTTTAAAAATCGTCGCCATTTTGCTAAAAAAAAATTTTTTCTTTTCTCCGAGGTACCGACCATAGCGAAGCCTTTAATAATCAAGAATTTCTTTAGATTTTTTGTTTTGGAGCATTACAAAACTCTCCACACTGTCAACCAGTTCGCACTTGATTTTTTTCAGTCCCCACTTCATCAGTTTATAACTTTTAAAATTTTTGATAATTTTTTTTCCTAATTTTTTTCTGTATTCTCTAAACATTAATAAACAATTTCCAAAAAAAGTAAATACTAAAAATGTTAAAGTTTCTTTTTTATCCCACTCGAAAAAACGCTTAAAATTGAGGCCTCTAGACCAGAATACCCCCTTAAGCCTAGAATGAGCAACTGAATATACTCACCCTCTAAGAAGTAACTGGAGTATCCAAACACCCCACACATTAAATTATGTATCGTTAATCTGATTGCTTTTTTAGTAAGGAAAGCAATGGTTTTATTTATTTTTTAACAAATTAAAATTTTTTTTAAATAATGTCTAAGGTCTGAAACCGAAAAAATCATTTTTTAAGTTAGAGGCGCATTTTGAATATTGCGTGGGGTGTCCATACACTCCAGTTACTGCTTTTAGCGTTAAAATTTTTAATTCAATTTTTAAGTGGTATCAAAATTATTATCTCAAAATTTCCGTCGTTACTTTTATATATTCCTGATTGCAAAATTTTGGTCAACTCAAAAATATTAACTTTTCTTCCTAATTCCAGACTTTACAGTGTTTTCCCTATTCCCTTTTTTCTATTTAAAAAAATTTCTCTTTTTATTAAAATTTCCCTTTTTTCCCTATTTTATGTTGTACACCAAGAGAAAAATTTTTTTTGTATCAAATATACTTCATTATTTGAGTTAAATTAACGTATATTTTTCTCAGAGCCAAATAGGTTATTTATTTGTTTTAAAGACAAATTTTATTCAAGATAAATAAAACTTATATTTAAACAAAATAAAGTTTACTTAAAAAAATAAAAAATCTAGTTGGCTAGTTGGCTCTGAGTCAAATATATCTTTTCTTTGGTTGTATACAGTACGCATTTACTAACATATTATAAAGTTTTTGTACTTCATACACTGAAAAAACTCTTTAAAAAATTTACCAAAATATGTTAATATTTTACTTTACAGAACCCTTGTCAATAACACTTTTTTAATGCAGGAAAAATACAAACATGAAAATGAAAAATACAAGATGTTGAAATTTCACTTTTTTAATATATATATTTTCAATTTCGATAATTTATTAATTTATAATTTTTGATAAAAATATTAATTAAATAAAGCTATAACAAAATATTTTATTTATCAAATTGGTATCCGACCATTCTCCAGAACATGAATTTACCCAAACATATTTTTCACCGAATGACCAAAGTTCCAAATAACAATTTTCCTAAATACAATTTGGTCGAATGCATTTTAACTGAAAGTATATCAAAGAGTATAATATTTATGTTCAAAGATACAAAATTGTGTATAAAAAGTGCTAAGGCACAACAAAAAATGAATTCATTTTGCCTTAAGAATCCTGCAATACATAAAAATAGTTAACAAATAATACATATGTACGAAAATTAAATTATGTTGTTATTTGTTAAACTTACTTTAAAGTCAATATTAATCGCAGTTTTTTCGAAAGCGGTCGTCTCAAACTAGCTTTCTGAAGCCTATGGGCAATTAAATTGTAAAGCAGATCAAATTGATCTGGTGTCATTCTGGCCATTTTGTAAAATTCTTCGTGGTCACTTCTAATATAATATAAAAATAATGTTTGGTAGGCACCAAACAATTCACGCAAATTATGTCTTATATGCGGTTTTACCCACCATCGTCGGATCCCAGGTCTAGCTTGGCACAATCGCATATATAAAGTGACAAGATTGAAATACCCAGCAATAATAGAAAGCATTTGCAAAGTAGTAACAATCATTATGAGATAAAAATTGGTACAAAAAGTAACACTCAACAATGACTATTTGTAATTTAAAAAAAAGAAACTTCAAAAACAAAATTGTTTATCTCTAAGTATACTTAAAACAGCTTTCATGTAATAAGTAGAAGAGAAACAAAATTAATGATTAATAATAAGAAATCGTTCCAGATGTCGCCTTTCATTATTCACAATTTGTCCAAATTCAAATAATATTAATTTGTCAGTTCAGTGGTGTTTTTGGGAGTTACTGGCAGTACATTATTATTGGTTGATCCAACAGAATGTTTGTAAATGTTTATGCAGATTCAGAAACTTCTAAAAACTGTTTAAATTTGCAATTTTTGATTGTCTATTCACGCTAACCTAACCGCAAATTTGCACTATCGCTGCAGTAAAATTTATAAAAAATTGGTAAGTAATTGAATTCCTGTTAAATTTTTATTAAAATTTTGTTTAAATAATAGAATTCTTTTGGAAAATTTTATTAAAATAGAAAATATAAAAAATAATTGAAATGAGGAAAATTTTTGAAAATAATTGAGATTTTGACAAGAATTTTATTAATTTTTTTGAAAATAATTTAATTTTGGAGAAGAATTTTATTGTTTAAAAAAATAATTGAAATCTTGACTAGAATTTTTATAATTTTTTGAACATAATTGAATTTATGCGAAGTTATTTAAAAGTTTTTTAAAATTAAATTATTGTCAAAAATAGAAAAAATTGAAGGATTTGTATTAGAATTGTTGGAAATTTAATAGTTTATAAGGCAAATAAAAAAGACACCAAAATTCAGAATTTTTCTATAAATTCTAAAAATTAAATTTTTTTCAGTACTTTCAATAAAAATCCCTGAATTCTCGGGGATGACTGAAAATATGACTTTTTAAGTCATATTTTCAGTAGACACCCTGTATATTTTCAAATATATTCAAATTTTATTCTCAATCAGTGAGAATTAATTGACAATTTTGATGAATAGTTTAATAAAATAATTCAAAAGTAACATTTTACAGTATACAGTTTGTTATTTCACAATTTTTAATAACTAATGCAAATTCTAATTTTAAATGGATAAATTAACTATTATTTGCGAATTATTGTTGAATTTAATTGATTATTATAAATAAAAATCACAATAATAATAATAATAATAATAATAATAATAATAATAATAATAATAATAATAAAAGTATTTTAATTCATAATTAACCAAATTAATTATTTATTATTGATAGAAAAACTAAATTCTGTAACACATTCTACAATTATAAACAAAAACATAATGCGACCATAACCTCATTTTCTTCAAAATAAAATTCAATATCATTAGATCCATTAGATGTTTTATATTCAGACAACAAATAATTAATTAATTAACTTCCGCCACCAATCACTCAAATTTAATTACAATTGTCAGTAAAAAATTAACTACAATTGTTTATTTATAACATTTCACTAATTCATATTTTGCTGCAAATATCAAACAGTTGGCAACAGCACGTTCATGACGTCAGCACGTACACGTTCACGATAGCGAACACGAACGACCGTGCCCATTGTAGAACCGACTTAACGCACTCGGCCGTTCAACGCAATGAATACTGAATACTGAGGATTAATAACCACATACGTTTCAGTTCAGTGCCGTAACTAGAGATTTTAAGCATTGGTATATACTTTTAATATTTTCTATGTAATAAAACATTTTAGATTATTTTTTAATTATAACTTTTTAGTCATTTAATTTGCAACGTTAACAATTAATAAATAAATTGATTACTGTAATTAAATTTTTAATTATTTTTATTAATTTCTTATAAATTATTATAAATATTTATTAATTAATTTTATTATTTAATATTATTAATTAATTATTAATTAATAATAATAAATTCATTAAATTTTTAATTAATAGAAAATTAGAATTAAACTATAATGGAATTTAAAAAAATTAATTTTTAACTAATTTTATTAATTTTATATTAAATCATTTATAATAAATTTATTATTCTAAATATTTATTAATTAATTTTATTAATTAATATTATAATTTATTATTAATTAACAATAATAAATTAATCAAATTTTTAATTATTAACAAATTAAAATGAAAAGTTTTAAAATATTGGAAAGAATAAGAACAAATTTATCTTTAGCAAATAATCAGTCGAACTGTCCAGTTATTACACATTATTGCAGTGCCATCGACACGACAAACTTAGAACTACACGGAAAAAAATTAATCTCTAAACTTGAAATAATATTAATTTGAAGTCCAATGAAATATAAGTGTATCTAAATTAAACATTATAGTCACAATTACTGTGATAAGTTGTGTTTGATTCTGTCAAACTTTATACCAGAAAACGCCATAAATTCACATCTCTGATTTAGAGATTTGTTTATTTCACAACTTTTTTTATATGAATTCGGTACATTGTGTTTTAAGTTAATCAGTGACAAAAAAGATTTAAACAATTTTAATTAATTAAGTATTAATTTTATTTTCAAATATCCAATTTAGGTAATTAAGAAGATTCTTACTCGTTGTATGTTGGCCTATTTTGTAAAAAGTGTCTGTGTTTAGAGAAAAAGTGGTTGAAAAATGTTTATTTACCTATTTCACGTCATTTAAATCAGTCAGTGTCGTATTTTGTCGGGCGATAATTGTAACCTACAAATTTTACAGACCTTCCAACGCCGTTAAAACAAAAAAATGAAATAAAAATATAAAATTCGTATTGTGTTTTAAAAATATCCAACTACTTTTTTATACTTGTCAATGTATAGTTCATACAGGGAAAACAATATAAATATTTTGTGAATAATTCTCACTCTAAATTGTGATAAATTATAAATTCTTATTACATCGAGTTATTACAAAAATAAGAATTATATAAATATACGACTAAAATTTTTAATATTGTTTATTCAAATAATATATTAGATTTGAATTTATTTAAGTAAGTTGATAGTTTAGAACATATGTTCCACATGTCATAAAATTTGAGATTCCTAATATCATTTTTAGGCATAAGAAATACGTGTTCTTCACAATACTAATATTCGGATTAGATATAATACCAAATTTCAGTTTTAGTGATCTGCTTACATCTTACGTCCGATTCCAGTGATAGGTTATGCCTAAATCTCAGATTTAATCTCTAATTTAGAGATTAATTTTTTTCCGTGCAGTTTTTCAGCCCATTTTTCAAGTCTATACTTTCACTTGTTCCCCACACGGAAAAACTTTTAAGCAGTCTGCTCACCCGAAACTTATGCGTCAGCGCCACCACTAAACTTGTTCATCTGCACTCCCAAACTGGGTGACCAACGTACCCAGTTGTAATTTTCTAAACTTTTTGGGAAGTTTGTCTATCGAAAACGGTAATGCTACGCACCCATTGGCGGGCGATCAGACTTTCCATGCAGTGAGAAGCGAAATTTTGTGACAGTGGGAAGACAGACTTCTCAAAGGTTTTTCCGTGCAAGCGAAACTGATAGTAGGAAAAATTTGAAAAAATTCACAGATATTCTTTAAGGTGTGTACAATTAATTTTTGTTTTTGAAATTAAAAAATAATAATTAATTTATTGTTTACTCAGCTTTATTCAGCTTAATGCTATCTTTTAAACAAATAATGATAAAATGACGTTTTTTAGCTTAAAATTTATAGTAGGATGAAATTACATAAATTAAAAACTAAATGAATTGAATATTCTTCTCAAAAAATGAATATACATATTTTGGGCTTTAATGAGAATCGACGTGTGCCTGCCATAAAGCAAAAAGTTGTAGAAAAAAAGTGTACAATAGGAAACCCAGAAGAAAATCGCCAGATGTGGGATTGTACTCAGGGCTGTCTCTATGCTAAACAGATAAAATCCTTTAGTGGCTCCCAATAAATGAGACAAAATTTTAAGAAATAATATTTTTATCCGGATCGATTTTTTAAACTTATTAATAATAATTTTTTAAACTTATCAATTAATATTTGTAATTTATAATATGATCTACTTATTAATTAATAAGAAATTATGCTATATTCCCAAGCGAAATTTTGTACATTTATTATTTAATCTTTTTTCTAAGGAAAATTTGAGTACATGAAACACATCAAGTATCAAATAATTAAATTTTTTTCCAACTTAAAAACATATTGAAGGATAGTGTTCCAAAGATGCATCACGTGGAGGTCAGTCATTAAGGAACTCAAAAACCTATAACACAATACAGAATAGTTTATTTTATAAAGGTTCCCAGAGATAGCACAATAATTTTAATCAAGTTTTTAGCAAGTTTTCAATGCAAAATTTGAAAGTTGCACTGCAAGTTTGCAGCAAACTTGTGTCAAATAACAAAATGTCGTTGGTGGCAAGTTTGTATTATAAACTTGCATAATATTCTAGGCAAACCTTCCAAGAAAGTTTGAAAAATTTTTTTGTTATAAATCATATGTACTTTAGAGCATGCAAACCTTTCCCCTCGGAAAAGGAATTAAAAATTAGTGCGCAGCTTTAGCTACCTTAGAAAACTACTGCGCATGAACTTAATGTTCACTGAACGACATTTTGCTATTTTCTGCAAACTTGCGATGCAAACTTTCGAGTTTTGCATTGCAAACTTGTTGAAAACTTGCTTAAAATTATTGTGCTATCTGAATTAAGAATATGTTACTAAATATATATTTTATTATTTTACCTTATTGTTCACATATAGAGATGAAATAATATCAATTTTCTCAATTCGAGTCTGTATCAAATTCTTCATCAGAATCATCACTTTCGTTGTTTATCTCAATAATCATTGAGTCAATATTTTGTTGTACTTGGGGTTCACTTAAGCGATACTTTTTTTCTTCTTTTATAGCATGTTCTAAGAATTTTTCCCATAAATTTTTGTCGACTTCATCCATTGCGCGTAGACACAAATTTTGAACATCTTGCAGTTTGAATGTAGTATTATGTTTCGCGACATAGTTTTTCACATATGCCCAAATAAGTTCAATTGGGTTAAATTCACAGTGAGCCACTGGTAACCAAAGAATTTTAACTTCTTCCCCTCTAAGCTCTTTTGCTACTGTATCTAAGAGACACGTCTTTGGATTGTAATATGGTTTGCACATTTCCAACAATTCGGGTTTCAATAATTCTTGGAATGATGTTACACTTGCTGGTAAAGGCACGTTTTGTTTTGTTGCCAAATCTATAATTTTTTGTTTTTTCCAAGCTCTCGTAGGATTTCTATACTCAGGATCAAGCATTTTGTGATATGTAGCTTGATCGAGGACTATTACAGATTTTGAGGGAATTGTCTGAAGAATTCTGATGAACCATTCTTCGTAGTGTTGAAAATTCATCTCATTATGATAATCTTGACTATTTTTTTTGCAATAAAACAATCCAGACCACCCGGAAGAAATCCATCCTTACTACAAATATGTAAGATAATAAGTCTCTGACCAGCACCAGAAGAGGTGACAAAACCACCCAAATAACCATTTATTTCTTGCACTCGATCAGCATAATAATTGAAATTTGATAAATCCTATTCTATTATTTTTTCAACCCAACCAAACTGTTTTGTGTGATTTTTTCCACACCATGTTTCATCAGTATAAAAAATGTTGTAACCATTTTGTCTATAGTTTTTTATAGGGGAAAAGGTTCGGTTGTGGGCATGGTTCGGTTGTGGACACCCCCGCAAAACTTTTGACAGCAAAGAGATTTTTCTAATCTGACAAATGTCACGTGTGTGTTATGACCAAACGTAGTTATCGATGCAAATACAAAAGTGATTAGACAACTGCTTTTTACTATATATAAATTAATTTTTTGACACGTTGAATATAACAAAAATGTATATATATATATATATATATATATATATATTAGGGTGGTTCTTATTTTGGAAAAGTTGGAATTTCTTAGGTCACCGGCCGGAATTTGAATTAAAATGTGAAAAAAATGAGATACCCAAAAGAACAGCCCATTTGATAAATTTTAACCCGTGCCGCAAAAGGGTTAAAGTTTAAATGGGGTTTAACATGGGTTTGGTGCACTTGTGCAAACTTTGTATTATAACTTTTACATTTTTTAAAAATTTGACTTGGGTCTAAGTATTCCCATAGTTTTTCGTACGCTGAACACGAATATGATGTCAAAAATAACTTTTGACAGCTACCAGTTGTCAAAAAAGCTGTCAAATTTTGAAGATGAGAATTTTCTCGACTTTTACATTAATTTCTACGAATAAAAAGGTTTCTTGTGAATATTTCAGTTTATATTTAGCAAATTTATACCCTTTGACAGTTACCATCTGTCAAATGAGTCGTCAACTTTTATAAAAATCAGTTTTCAAAGAGTTTTAAATGAATTATCAAAAAAACGGTTCTGTAGGTAAATTTAGTTCATATATAGGTATTTAATATATTTTGGCAGTTGACAGCTGTCAATTTACTGGTCAACTTCTATTAAATAGAATTTTTAAGACGTTCCCAATTACTTCTTATAAATTTTAAAATTTATAAAAAATTATTTCCTCCTCAAAATAATTTTTAAAAAAATTAAACTTAAAAACATACATGTATTAGACAAAATAATAAAAAATATAAATTTTTAATTAATTAATTAAATTATGAAAATCAAATATGAATTTATAACGCAATAATTAATATTTTTATACTACATATATTTTAAAGTTTATTTGTCTTTAAAAAATTATTTTTAGAAAAAAATATTCATTTAGCAATTTTCGAAGTTTTTTGTGATAATTGATTTAAAACTCTTTGAAAACTGATTTTTATAAAAGTTGACAACTCATTTGACAGCTGGCAACTGTCAAAGGGTATAAATTTCCTAATATAAACTGAAATATTCACAAGAAACCTTTTTATTCGTAGAAATTAATGTAAAAGTCGAGAAAATTCTCATCTTCAAAATTTGACAGCTTTTTGACAACTGGTAGCTGTCAAAAGTTATTTTTGACATCATATTCGTGTTTAGCGTACGAAAAAGTATGGGAATACATAGACCCAAGTCAAATTTTTAAAAAATGTAAAAGTTATAATACAAAGTTTGCACAAGTGCACCAAACCCATGTTAAACCCCATTTAAACTTTAACCCTTTTGCGGCACGGGTTAAAATTTATCAAATGGGCTGTTCTTTTGGGAATCTCATTTTTTTCACATTTTAATTCAATTTCCGGCCGGCGACCTAAGAAGTTCCAAATTTCCCAAAATAAGAACCACCCTAATATATATATATATATATATATATATATATATATATATATATCCAGGTAAAAGACATCTTTCACTAATGCGATTTTAATAAGAAACTCAAAACTGTTAAATCTTTACAAACTTTAAGAAAAGTACACAAAATACTGTATAAGAAGAATTTTAGAAAATTTTTATATTTAGCGTGTAACTTTACTGTAAAATTACTGTAACACTACCTGTAATGTTACAGTAATATTATCATGTATTATTACTGTAACGCTATTAATAATATTACCAATACATTGCAATATTACTAATATTACATGTTATATTACAGTAATATTACGTTCTACTTGAAATATTGCAAAAAAACTGCAAATTTGATTTTAAAATTTTTTTACTGAACTGATTTTGCAAAATAAAATTTTTTACATCAAATTTGCATAAAACTATAAAAATATAGTGCAACTTTTTAAAAATCTAGCATGCAAAAATAATTTTGCATAAACTATGTATAAAGTTTCGTTTTGTTTAAAAAATCGTTCTGGATAAAAATATTATTTCATAAGATTTTGTCTCATTTATTGGCAGCCACTAAAGGATTTTATCTGTTAAGCGTAGAGTCAGCCCTGAGTGCAATCCCACATCTGGCAATTTTCTTCTGGGTTTTCTATTGTACACTTTTTTTTACAACTTTTTGCTTGATGGCAGGCACACGTCGATTCTCATTAAAGCCCAAAATATGTATATTCATTTTTTGAGAAGAATATTCAATTTATTTAGTTTTTAATTTATGTAATTTCATCATACTATAAAACTGCACATTTTAAGATAAAAAACGTCATTTTATCATTATTTGTTTAAAAGATATCATTAATCTGAATAAAGCTGTGTAAACAATAAATTAATTATAATTTTTAATTTCAAAAACAAAAATTAATTGTACACGCCTTAAAGAATATCTGTGAATTTTTTCAAATTTTTCCTACTATCAGTTTCGCTTAGGGAACAGGTGAAAGTATAGACTAGAAAAAATGGGCTGAAAAACTGTGATTTTTGGCACATTTTGTGTCACAGCTACTGCAAAAAATTTTTTGTGGTCTCGAAATATACTTTGTTTCATTCTCAAGACTTCAAGCTTTCATAAATTTTTTACCAGAATGTTTGGAGATTTTTTTTCAATGATATATAAACAAAAAAAAGCCAGAGTCGCTTTCTTTTGTCCCCGACTTAAGTCACTAATTTTGCGCGCTACGCACGCCCCCTTTCTTTCTGCTATTAAAAATGGAAATGTTTTTACACTGAAAAGTTTCTAATATTACTCTAAAGATACACACATAGTTATTAAAAACATTTTATCTTTAAAGGATTAAATTTTGTATACCTAAGTTGTCTTTAAAAGATAAAATTTTGTTTTAAATACTCGTCGAAGGTAGTGTATATACACTACCGTCCACGAGTACCAGGACGATTATATTCGACTCTATGAAAAAACATGCCATTACTTTTTCAATCATATCTCGTAAATAAAAGGACATACAAAAAAACTTAAATACGGTTAGAAAGCAGATTAAAAAGCGTAAAATAAGCCGTCTTTGAAGTCATTTCGTTAACTATTTTTTAAGTTGTAGAGTGAGAAATAAATAAAAAAAATTATCAAATTTTCTCATTTTTGGCTCTTGACCTCACCCACATAGCACAACTTTTCACTGTAAGGTTACCTGAGACGACATCTGTAGGGCTTGTAAGGTTATCAAGTAAGAGTGTGGTAAACACGATGAAGTCTAAAAACTTCCGCCTTACTGTAGCCTTACACATGAAAGTCACTGTAAGCTTACACAGTAAAGTCACTGTAAGCTTACACGGTAAGGTCATTGTAAGCTTACACAGTAAAGTTACTGTAGGGTTACACGGTAAGGCCACTGTAAGCTTACACGTAAGGTTATGGTAAGGTTATACTGTAAGGATGTGGTAAGGTTATTATTAAGTTGTAATGTTGAGGTAAGGTTGTGGTAAGTTTACAAATTATAGAAAATATTAACAAAATAATTAATAATCTAATTAAAAAATAAATATTAAAAAAAATTAAGTTTGTTGCTTTTCTAAATTTTGGAAACCTAACATGAAACAGAAAATTTTGGAAACAAATTTGGGGGCACTAGGACTCGAACCCGGGATCGACGCGCATAAACCTAACACTCTAACTAACTGAGCTAAGTGGGGAACTGAGGAAGAGAAAATCAATTTTGCTTTTAAGGTGCACTAAGAAGAGAGCTAACTCCTTAAAAGCAAAATTGATTTTCTCTTCCTCAGTTCCCCACTTAGCTCAGTTAGTTAGAGTGTTAGGTTTATGCGCGTCGATCCCGGGTTCGAGTCCTAGTGCCCCCAAATTTGTTTCCAAAATTTTCTGTTTCATGTTAGGTTTCCAAAATTTAGAAAAGCAACAAACTTAATTTTTTTTAATATTTATTTTTTAATTAGATTATTAATTATTTTGTTAATATTTTCTATAATTTGTAAACTTACCACAACCTTACCTCAACATTACAACTTAATAATAACCTTACCACATCCTTACAGTATAACCTTACCATAACCTTACGTGTAAGCTTACAGTGGCCTTACCGTGTAACCCTACAGTAACTTTACTGTGTAAGCTTACAATGACCTTACCGTGTAAGCTTACAGTGACTTTACTGTGTAAGCTTACAGTGACTTTCATGTGTAAGGCTACAGTAAGGCGGAAGTTTTTAGACTTCATCGTGTTTACCACACTCTTACTTGATAACCTTACAAGCCCTACAGATGTCGTCTCAGGTAACCTTACAGTGAAAAGTTGTGCTATGTGGGCAACTTTTTCAAAAATCTACAAAAATTTAGATAAAATTTTTCTAAAAACACAGAAATCTTCGTTAAAATTTCACCTTTTGAATAAGTATTTGAAAATTAAAAAATGTTAATCCGTCTGCGATATATCATTAAAAATGTGAAACCGTGTTTCGACCGATTGGTGCAATGAAATTCAACTGTGACGAATCGACTCTGGCTTCGCGTGGCAGCGAATGAGAGAGAAAGCAGAGACGAATTCATGCGGGGGAACGATGAACTTTCGAGTTTCTTTATATTACTCGTGAAA